ACTCTTTTAGTTTTAGGACTTACAAACAACCGTTATGTGAACAAAACTATAATACGAGAGTATAAAAACGCACTCTCTCCCTAATCACCTTAAACGAATCGAAACGACCGAAAAAACATGTATACAATAAAATAAGTACCAGCCTATAAAGCGCCTCCGATCTTAAAACGCCACAAAAATATATATTTAATTAAACATAAAGAACAGGATGGGTAAAATTAGAGCCAATGAACAGTCCGACTCCCGCTAAGCGCAGCAATATTTGATGCTATGCATTCAATAAAAGTAGGTCACTTTTTTCATGATTTATTTAGAGAACCATTTAAACAATTCAGCTTGAGTTTATTTAAATAAACGTGATCGCAACAAAAAGCTAAATTCAAATAGGTAGTGTTGTTGTAAGTGTTGTAGCTGCACAAAGGCAGCGTGTAATTTAATAGAACCGGGTGGCACGCACAACAAACGAAACAACAAATTCATTGTTGGGGATAGAAACAAAAAAAAATAAAAATAAAAAAATCATTCTGAACGAATACATATGTATGTACTATATATCCGAAAGGTCTCAGCATTGTTTCATTTAAAAAAACAATTTTCGCATTTTAGTAAACAAACTCATTTAACAAAACTTTACAATTGCAGTGTGCTAACAATAACAAATGCAATGAGAAAAATCATGCTAGTATCTAAAATATATTGGGTATGGAATCTACCTTTTTTTTATTTTTGTAATTGTTTTGGTTTATAGATATTATTTTTTAATTATTTAGTAATGTTTTATATTGGTTACTTATTATTTCAATTTTCTGTAGTTAGTATTTTTTACAACTTAATAGTTTTTCTAGTTTGGATTTCTCTATTTCGTATTATATTATATTTCGCTTATTTACTTGAGGAGAGAGATAGTAAATTTGCTTTAGTTTTTAATTGCACTAAGCAAAAAATTAAATAACTTTAAGCGAATTTCACCATGTGATTTTTTATATCAATTTAAAATAACTATATATAACAGGATAAAACATGCATAACAGCAAAATTTAACATTTGAATTGTTATTCAGTTATTCTTTGTAACTGTTGTTATTTGTTATTTTGTGCAATATATCCTTTTCTCAATCGCACTCTCCAAACATACATATGTATAACCAAGGTTGCAAATTTTTCATATATTATAAAAAAATTTTTGACATTTTTATTAGCGCATTTTACGTATTAAAAGCTGAAATTACATATATCTAACTGAATTATAATTAAAAGTAGTTAAATGTCAATAGAATAAAAAAAGCTAAACTATGTTAATACTCTAATTAATACTTCTAAATTCTAAAACAATTTCTTGTTTTTTAAATTTTAAATTATAAGCTTATACATTTTTTGCTTTTCAATTTTGTATTAAATAGTTTGAGATTGGAAATTAAAAAATAAAATATTTTAAATACTATGTATTTTCGTGATTACAAATTAAATTAAAATTTAAATTAAAATATCAACTAAATTATTATATTTAGTCAGCACATTATTTGCAAGCCTACTTATATCACATTTAAACAATTTCATTTATCATGTATTAATAACGAATGTGCATATTGAAGAATTGGAAAAAATCGACTGCCTCTTTAGCGTATTAGATTTTAGAAAATTTATTATTAGATATTAAAATTTTTCTTTAAATTTAAGTGCCACTGTAGCAATTAATATTTTTCGCGCAATAATTCACAAAATAAATTTTAAGTATTTTTGTCAATTTATTTTTAATATTTTAGTTCAGTTTTGTTTGTTGTTAATCCTAAGAAATAAAAATTAATATAAGTACAATTGAACATTAATTGTTTTACTTTAAAAACAACGTTTCTGATTTAAATCAAAATTTTTTAAAAATAATTAAAACTGATATAATTCTATTTAATAAAAAAAATAAAACTAATAATCAATATATTATACTATTTCAGCTATTGCAAACAAATAGGTTTTACAAATTACTAATAAAAAATTAAATATTTGTCGCAGCATAACATCTGCTGCAGTATTATTTTGAATAATTCAAAAAAAAAAGTAGGTAGGTAGTAAAAAAGGTAAAAAAAATAGTAGCAGTAGAAATAAGTATTAATAAAAAAAAATTGTCATACGGTGATTTGATTTAGTAGAGTCTTAAGCTTAGTAAGTTCGCGTGACTCCGTGGAATTGTATATTTTCTATAGCCCCCGTCGTATAATGGAAACGCATTTGAACCAGCAATTTTCCGTTGATACAACAAGGGCACAAAAGCCATTTTACTTTGAACAGAAGATAAGAAGAAACTAGAAATTCTTATTTTATTAGCTCAGACAGACGAACGCAGTGGAATTCGAACATGCGGCCAAACGTCAGCTAGCGCACAAAACGGTTGTCACTTAAACAGACTCGGCTAACGAAAATTTACCATTGCTTTGTCAAATGCTTCATTTGATCGCCATACTTGCTCATTCACAATTATTGCTTAGAAAAATGGTGGCATTGAGGTGCTACAAACGAAATCTTGATTTGGAAAACTAACTGAAAATTACATATAACAGATTTATATATAGAAATTTCAATAAGTAGTGAAAAATAATATTAATTTAATAGTACAAAAAATGGCAATTAAAAAAATAGAACGGATAAATAGAATAGAAGAACAAATTAATAAAAAAGAAAATATACCAAATATAAAAAATAAAAGAAAAATAATAAAATATAGTAATAAAAATATTAGTGAAAAAACATAACTCATAACTCGCCATTCTTTTATTATTATAAGATTAATCAAGCCTTTCAATTGTGTCAAAAATACATTATTTTATATTTGCAAATGTCATTTATATTTAACTAATCTAAAAATGTGTTAGCTTTTACACTTAAAAAAAAAAAATTTAGTTAAAATGAAAGACATTATTATAAGGCCAACCTGTAATTTAGGCAATATTTCTCCCAAATATAATTACTCGAGCTATTAAAAAACCTTTCAATTTAATATATAAACGTATGAATTGAGTTTTCATTAGCATTATAATAATTGTGTATATATAACTGTTCAGTCGATGTTATAATACACATACACACTTCACGCACGATGTGCGTAACTGCACGAATAATATATGTATATTTGAGTATGTATGATAAGTGTACTCGTGTATGTATGCTTGAACTTCAAGGATATTCTCATAGGTTCATTAAATTCAATAATCTAGCGTTCAAATATTCACGCAATTTATTTGCACTCGCCACATTGCAATAATGTTACGGATACTATGCTATTTAGCAAAACATATAAAAAAATGCAAACAGTGAAAGACTGGCGTGAGAAAAACTTAATTAATCGCTGTGAGTGTGAGAAAAGAGAGTCATGCAATTGAGTATATCCGTTGTATGAATGAAGTATTGTTATTGCGCATAATGATGACAGGTAAGCAAATAGTTGCCGGTGTAAAAGGACACAGTGAAAATGTGTGGGAGTCTCCGAAACAACCATGCATATTTAATTTTATTTCAATTAAAGTGTTTGCCAGATGTGATAAAATTTGTATTGCAGATATGTATTGAAGATAAAAAATTATAAAACGAATAAAATAAAATAAAACTAGATTTATAGAATCAAAAACTCAAAAAATGTAAATTAATAGACAGAAAAATTAAAACATAAGAATAATCTGTCAAAATATTAACTAGCAGCAAATAAATAAATATCCGCTCAGAAAAAAGATAGTTTTCGATTGGAAAATGAACTATTGGAAGTCAAGGGTGAGTGGACAAAAATACACACCTATTTTGCAATTTTGAAAAGAAAATCGATTTTTTTTTCATATTTCCACAGATTACACCTAACATACTAAAGTGGA